GGGTCTCGAACCCGCGGGCTCAGGCAATCCACTCAACTCAGCCCTAATTTTTGATTTATTATAGCGACAAGGTCTTGCCAAGTTGCCCGGGCGGGTCTCGAACCCATGGGCTCATGCAATCCACTCGCCTCAACCTCCCAAAGTGCTTGGATTACAGGCCGAGCCACCGAGCCCAGCCAACTGTGTGCATTTTAAAAGACTACATGGTGTTTTCTTAATTGTATCTGTAATAAAATCTAATAACAAGATGGTCTTCTTCAGCATGGGTTTATAATAGAAAGCATGGATATTAATAAGAAAGCATGATATTAATAATTTAAGCTTGTCTGTACTTAGGATCGGGTTATTCATATTAATCATCTGTGTGTACAGTAAAACTAATGCTCTTGGAGACAATTTTGGTATACTGTATAAGGTTTTTCCTTCTTCAATAAGTGGTGTTGGTATACTGTACTAAAACCTATACTGTATAAGGTTTTTCCTCAATAAGTGACATTACACTGTGCATTAATACTGGGAGTATTTTCTTTTTAACCCCTGCTATTGGTGTCCATTTATATCTAACCTATTATTGCACTTCACCAAAGCTTGATATGTACAAGAACTTGATGATTGTCAAAAAATAGCTTACTAGGTATTTTATGTGAACTTTGTGATAGTGATTTGCCACTCATAGTCTTTCCTTCCCCCAAACTCCCTACTTTTTTCTTTCTTTTCTGTTCTGTTTCATTCTTTTCCACTCTGTTTCTTACTAAAGTCATGCTAATTAGCATAAATTCACTGTGGCTAAGATGGTTAGGATTATTACTAGTGGAGAAAAGAAAAGTTACTATTTCTACTACATGTACCAGCTCACATATTTCTTTTTGTTATTTGATTAAGTTTAACTTTGATATCATCCAGTTCTCCCTCTTTTTGGAAACCATTAACTAAGATGCTATATTTTTTCAAATCTTAACAGTATACATTGCTCAACTGAGTTACATTAAAACTTGCAAAACATAGCCAGGCTCGGTGGCTCAGCCTGTAATCCCGCGCCTTTGGGAGGCTGAGGTGAGTGGATTGCCTGAGCCCACGGGTTCGAGACCCGCCTGGGCAGCGAGACCTCATCTCTACAATAAATCAAAAAATTAGCTGGGCGTGGTAGTGTGCTCCTGTAGTTCCAGCTACTTGGAAGCCTGGGGTGGAAGGATTGCGGAGCCCAGCAGGTCGAGGCTGCGGTGGCCGGGAGCGGCCACTGCACTCCAGTCTGGGTGACAGAGTGAGACTCCAACTCAAAAACAAACAAACAAACAAACTTACAAAACATAAAATTGATACCTGAAGTTTTCATTAGAAATAGGAGAACCAAAATAAGTTGAAGACTATGTAGAAATATAGAAACTACTTTGCTATAGTGTTAGGTGAAAAAGCATACACAATTTTATATACTGCTGTTATTTTCACTATGTAAAAAGCACTGTCAATTGTATGAGAAATGGAAGGAACTGAACTAAAATTCTTTAAGGCCGTGAGTTTATAAATTTTATTTTTGTTTGAAAGTTTTATTTAATAGCCTCACATTGCCTCTTTAATTAAGAGAAAAGTGGAACCTTTGCATCTTTGGATATTAAGAATGCTATCCAGCAAAAGTTGCCTCTGTAATTATACACCTTTACTTTCTCTATACTTTTATGAATTAGCTATCTCTTATTCTGCCTGGTAGAATCCTATAATTCTTTCAAGGTTTAGCTCTGATGAGACTCCTCCTACATGGGAGAGTCCTTCTTTAGGTTTTGATACTACGTTTTGCACACATATATTTTAGTACTTGTTAGTTGTGCGTGTGTTAGACTTCATGTCAGGCTGACCAATGGAGAAAACACTGACTGTGGAGCTGGCTTCAAGTCCTGATTCTCTCCTTTACTAGTTGTATGACCCTAAGAGTATTATTTAACCTCTTTGAACCCCAATCCTCATTTTAAAATTAGAACCAATAATACCTATCTGATAATATTGCGGTGAGGATTAAAAAGCATCATTTTTAAAAAATGCGTCATAAATAAAGAGGCTAGCACTCTCTCGTAGGTGTTCAATAACTCCTTCCCTAGTTAAAAAGAATTGGATAATACCATTCCTTTCAAGTCACACCTACTTTCTCTGGGATGTATTGACTGGCTGAATCAGGGAGACTTGATCAAGTTGATTACTAAAAATGTTATTAATTTTTAAAATTTGTTATGTGACTAATATTTTAATCAGGTTGCAGTATTGTCTTAGTCAGATATTTCTTTTTGCAGTATCTAAGATACTGCTTTTTTTACTTGTTTATTTTGCACACATTGAGAACCTAGAGAGATTTCCATGTTTTCAGAGGCATACAAAATATCCTTTGGTTATATTATTTATTTTTATGTTTTTCACATTAAACCAGTATCTCTCCATCTTTTTTTATTATCATCCCCAACCTGCTTCTTTAGATGTTTTTTCCTCTCCCCACCCATGAAGTTTAAATACCACAAATACAGTATATCTGTTTATGTATAGTACTTTATGTGCATCTATTCTTTATATTTAAAAAGAGTAAGCTGGGCTCGGTGGCTCAGCCTGTAATCCCGCGCCTTTGGGAGGCTGAGGTGAATGGATTGCCTGAGCCCGCGGGTTCGCGACCCTCCTGGGCAGTGAGACCTCATCTCTACAATAAATCAAAAAATCATCCAGGTGTGGTAGCGCATGCCTGTAATTCCGGCTACTTGGAAGGCTGAGGTGGAAGGATCGCCGGAGCCCTGCAGGTTGAGGCTGTGGTGGCCGGAAGCGGCCACTGCACTCTAGTCTGGGCGACAGAGTGAGACTCCAACTAAAAAAAAAAAAAAAGTAAAATTTTGTCAGACTTCTTAAAGAACCAGTTTTTACCCTTGGAGTGATAAAACCTCTCATCAAGAAGGCATGCATTAGATTCTACGTTTAGACATGACTTAAAAAAGATTAATGATTCTGTGGTTGGGTTCTAATTGGATAACTGAGAATGAGTTCTGATTGCTTTGTTGATTAGCTTTGTGACCTTTGTCAGTCTCTGAAGCTTTCTAATATCCTTTGCTTCATCTGTAAAATGGGGATACTACTATTATCATCCTCATAAGGATTAAATGAGAATTCAGTGAGGTAGTTCATGCAATACAATATACATTTAGCATACAGTAATTGTTTTCTATATATCAGCTATCATTTTTGTAATTTAATAATCAACAGCTTTCATTTTGTTCATTGGAACTTAAGACCTGAGTGTCAAGAGATATCTAGCAGTTCTCTTTTTTTATTTTTTAATACTGATTACCTTTGGAGGGAAAAATGTTTAAGCTGTTTTGGTAAAATGAGATAAAGCACCTATAGATTTCAATAACTAAAAGCCAATCAGAAACAAAATTTCTTACTGTGTATATAATTGTATGTAGAGTATTATAATGAATTTGCATGGTAGCTTGAACCATAGGTTATTTTATTAAATAATTCTGAATTCTCTTTTTAGATATTTGATTTAATGGATGCCAAAGCGCGTGCTGATTGCATCAAAGAAATAGATCTTCTTAAGGTAAATAATGAACTATTGACTATTTTGACATAACTGAGTATTTTGAAAACTAATTTTTAAAAAGTAAAATGTCACACTTATAAGCAAAAGGATTTTTAATACTTACGCTACACTGATTTCAAGTAACGTTATATAAGTTTTAATCTCAGTCTATTGAAGAATATATTTATGTTTTGGGTTTGTTGTAAAATAATTTAATCAGAACATTTGGTAGGATCAGCTTTTTGTTTTTCTCATTTCAAACTAGGAAATAGATAAGATGGTCATAAAACATTGAAGAAATTTTTTTCTTGATCATCCCAACAAGAAATATTCTAAAGGTTAAGTAGTATAAATGCATATTAGTATTACCTTAAGATGTATTATATTGTGAACGTGGACTAATCCAAATGGTTCGCATGCTTTTTATAATGTTTCTGAATTTTTTTTCCATGTTTAGGAAGGGTGGATGTGAAGAGTATGTTAGGAATTAACTTTTTAGTTTCTCATCCACTAAGACTATGACAGATTTCATTTACCTCTTCACTGCTTCTTCTCTAGTGAAGTTTCTTTTGAGAAATGCTGTGGCTTATGTTATATTTTAAACTTTTAGGCAAGATTGAGTGTCTTCTATGCCATCCATTTGTATGAGTTCCTAAAATGAATGAGATTTATCCAAAAAGATGAGTAATGTCAAAACAAGCTATGCTTTCTGACTGCTCTGTTGCTTGTTATTTCTTGGCAAATGAAGTAACTGGCTTACATGTATATTAACTTCTACTATAGAAATAACATGTCATCACAGAAAGTATGCGGAGAAAACTATAAGTAGAAAGAAGAAAAGAAAGTCACTTATATTTCTTGAATAATTTCTCTGAGAAACTATCTTGTGCTAACTTGTTTAAAGGTTGGACAAATGTAGAGTTTTTCTTAGTGATGGTTTTAGAAATCAATTCACAAATATAAATCTGGTATTCTTATATTATTTGACATAAAAGCAATACTATAGATATAGTATAGTAAATACCTGTTTTCTACTAGCTGGAGTTATTCTAAGACAAGCTCTAACTTCAAAGGAAGAGTAAAAGAGGATACTTTATTTGCCGCTGAGTGCTCTTACATAACTTCTCATTTTGAAGGATATAATTTTTAGCAATTGTTGATTTAATTCTGTCATTCATTTATTGCCTCAATTTATATGCTTATTGGGAATAGCAGTACTTTTTAAAGTTTTAAGTAATTTATTATTTCTAATAAAGGATATTAAAATAAGTTAACTAATACCTAATTTTAATAATTATATTATTTGTTTCAAAATTCACTAGATTAAAGAGAAATGTACTATCATGTTAAGATTTCTGCAATTTAAAAATGAAACACAAGTTTATTCTTAAGTTAAAAGCTGTAAGTGATTCTTGAAAATTTACAGTAAGAAAACTATTTGATGCCTGTTTTATTTTCTCAGCAACTCAACCATCCAAATGTAATTAAATATTATGCATCCTTCATTGAAGAGAATGAACTAAACATAGTTTTGGAATTAGCAGATGCTGGTGATCTGTCCAGAATGATAAAGGTAAGATTTGCTTGTTTTTTAAAAAACAATTTTCTTAACGTTTTATTTTTTTTCCTTAGAATTGTCTGTTAAACATTTCGCGATATTAGATACTTAAAATTAAAGACAGTGCAATGCTTAGCATCTGGTAGATAAATAATAAATGGTTGGTGATAGTGATCTTAGCGATTCTGAAACTGGTTTACCTGGTGATGTTCACGTTGGTCAGCTTAATTATCCAAACACCCCAAAACCAACTTGCAAAGAAGCCAAGAGGCTTGCCTTCTGAAAACCAAAATTAAAGTTTTGTTGTTTGATTTCTCTGAGTAGATCGACCTTGATCCTGTTTTCTCTGGACAACAGGGAAAGGAAATTAGAGATTTTGGAGCAGCCTGGCCTGTTTCTGGGAGGGATCCATCAGAGAAGAAAGTGGACTTTGCAGTTATTCCTTGGATGTCAACCTCTGTTTTGATCACTTACAAGTTGTTTAACTTTCTTTTTTTTTTTTTTTTGAGTTGGAGTCTCACTCAGTCGCCCAGACTGCAGTGCAGTGGCCGCTTCTGGCCACCGCAGCCTTGACCTGCTGGGCTCCGGCGATCCTTCCGCCTCAGCCTTCCGAGTAGCCGGAATTACAGGTGCGCGCTACCACGCCCGGCTGATTTTTTGATTAATTGTAGAGATGAGGTCTCGCTGCCCAGGCGGGTCTCGAACCCGCGGGCTCAGGCAATCCACTCACCTCAGCCTCCCAAAGGCGCGGGATTACAGGCTGAGCCACTGAGCCCGGCACTTAACTTTCTTTTTTAAGGGCGTATTTATTGGGCTGAAGTTCAGCTGCAATTAATTGAAACCCCAAACTAACAGAAGCTTAAAAACTGCTTGTCCTTGGATGAGTTATTTAACGTCACTGTGCCACATTTTCTCAAAAACACAATAATAATAAAACCTACTTCATATGGTTGTTGTGGTGAATAAATTAATTTTATTCAGAACTTAGAACAGTGCCTCACACATTGTAAGACTATGTAAATGTAGCTGTTGCTGTTACTATTGTTATTACTTCTGTGTTACATGAACATCTAGGGCTAATATAATGGCTCTAATCTATACATTCAGATCTCAGAGACTCAGCCTATTTCTGGCTTATCAATTCACACTGAGCTTGAAGGGACAAGGTGTACTTGCTAGCTGTATCTTAAAGCACATTCTTGAATTCTGCCTGTCACAGCATTTTCAGTTTCATTCTCTTGACCAGAATGTAGTCTCTAGCTGCAAGGAAGGCTGGAAAATATAGTATTCGTTCAGCTGGTCACATGCCCAGCTAAACTTCTATCAGTATGGAAGGTAAGCTGAACGTTGTGGAAACAAACAAGAACAACTAAATAAGAAAAACAAAGGCTATTTGTCCTGAGCTTGCTATATCAAGTGAGTCAGCCACTATCACTTGCATCGTGGCAGAGAATTAAAGGCAGGTAGAGGAGTAAAAGCTTTAAAGAGAAAAAAGGGAAACCTTCAGGTATGTCCTGATGGGAGTCTGCTGGTGTGGGGAAGCTATAGGCAAACTAACGAGAAGTGGGGCGTCCTTGTGATTGGTTAGGAGTGCACATCTGACTTTCTCCAGTTGGTCCTATTTGGAACTAAGGACAAAATTAGGGGAGCTGTCAGTTGTTAATCAAGTGTTGGCCATTTTGGCCAATTGTTACAGAAGTTAATGGCTAGCTTCGTAGATTATCACTAGAGACAGCAGTTTGACTTTCTGCAGTTCTGACTTTTAGCAGGCTTACTTCCTGTGTTGTTTATTGTAGATAAAAGTTTGATGTCCTGGGCAGGTTGCTGCAGGTTGTAGATGAGAGTTCTACCTTTGTATATGATCTGGGCATTGTTAGTTTGTACATTTCACCTTTGAATACAGACTAGAGTATGACCAGTCATCTCTACTATATGAAGTTATTGTAAGGAATTTTTAAAAACAATGTTAGGTGCTTTCTATACGTTGCCTTAGTTAGTCTTCACAAGGATTCTGAGAGGTAAACTTGACTCTTAGAGATGATAAGTACAGATTATTAAAAATAGCAGGACTGGTATTTTTGAAATTAGGTTTGTCTGATGCAAAAATCCATGTTTTTCTTTAGTAGCCTTAAAGGTATTTTTAATTATAGAACTCCTTTGAAAATCAGATGAAAGTCCTTGACCTTCTCCTCAGAGAAATGTTGATGTACACCCAATTTGCGTTCCATAACAAAGCATTCACAAATTTTCTGATCAAGGCATTTACAAGTTCTCTGGCAATAGTTTAGAACTCTGCTCTTGATTGTGGCTCAGTATCAGCCACTTAGACTCTCCTGTCACTTAAATTCCCTTTATGTTTGCTCTCTCATCTATAAGATGGAGACAGTTTATAAGAATACTTCCTAAATTATAAACTACATACGTAATCTTATCTGTCCATCTATATACACCCTTGGAAAACTCTTGAGGTTTCTGACTGAAGTTTGAAGGTATCTATCCTGTAAAGGATTATTTAGGAGGGAAAATATTTTTGGAATTAAGAGTATCAACTGTTTTGTAATAAGTTATAAGCTTATACAGCAAGTTAATGTACTTTAGCAGATACTGAAGTGGTTCTTCCTTAGAGAATTAGTAATATTATTCCTCCTTCATCTCTAGTAGACTTTATTATACAAGCTCTTAATGATTCTAATTTTTTTGTGAACTGTGGTCTCACTCTGCTGCTTAGGCTAGAGTGCAGTGGCACAATCACAGCCTCAAATTCCTGGTCTCAAACAGTTCTCCCACCTCAGCTTCCCAAGTAGTTAGGACTACAGGCACGTGCCACCATACTTGGTTTTTTGTTTTTTGTTTTCTGTAGAGACAAAGTCTGGCTATGTTGCCTAGGCTGGCCTAGAACTCCTGGCTCAAGCTGTCCTCCTGCCCTGGCCTCTCAAAGTGCTAGGCCATATTGCTCTTTATAGGTACTATCATTTTTTGCCTAGTCAATATATATGACATTCCTGGTCCTCTTGGAGCTCTTCTAAAGGTTGAAAGTCATTTTGTCAAACCTATAGATCTTATAACAATCTTGGTGTAATAGCCATAACACAAAGTTTGGCCATATGGTTTCACATGGGTAAAATATCTTCATATCCTGGTTATATTTCTCTATGTCTTTTTTTTTTTAATTGTAGAGACTAGGTCTTGCCAAGTTACCCAGGCTGGTCTCGAAGCCCTGGGCCAGGCAGTCCTCTCACCTCGGTCTCCCAAAGTGTGGGAATTACAGGCTTGAGCCACCACGCCCAGCCACATCTTTTGCACGATGATATTTGAGACCTGACTAAACACCTAAATAGTATCCAAAGCAAATAATCTAATAACTTGGAAAGATCTTGTCTGTAAGATCTATCTCTCCTGGTTCTTTCTCAAGTAGAATTAATATTATTATGGATTAATGTCTTCTAATGGTGCACATAGTTATGACTTTTCTCTCCATTTGATTTAAGCTTAGGGTCTGTTTTATTTTTTAGATATAAAACAAAAAGCCCTCTTGTCTTGCATTAGTTTTCTCAAGTGGTGAAGTCCCTTCCCTTTCTTTCCTCATTCCCATGTCTGAGAGATAACCTCTAACTTTTATGTGTATGAAAACTTTCCAACTTTATTTGCTATCTTTCCACACACTAATTTAAATATAAAAATGTATAATAATATATGTGTAATTCTCAAACACATCACAATTTATTTAATTTTTTATTAATAGACAATCAGATTATTTTCACTTTTTATTCTTACATTGAAAAACTCATGTACAAAGCCTTGTATGTATTAATACAACTATATCTATGTCTATTCTACTATTTCTGTCACATAGATTCATATTGCTGAGTAATAGGGCATGCTAGATCACAATATTTTAGATCATATAGATACTATCAAATTATTATCACAAATGGTTATGAAATTTGTACCTTTAAAAATAGCTTTATATTTCCTATATTCATTTATTAGATACATGGTTTATACCTTCTTGGAACTCATTGTCTAGTGGGAGAGACAGGCATTTAACAGTTGCTTATAGAAAACTTTATACCTACTGTTGTAATAGTTATGTAACTCATGAGGGTTATAATGAACAGCTGAAACTATACTGGGACATTCTGATGGCAATAGAAGAACTTTAAGCAGTGATCCTATATGACTTTGGTTTAGTTACTTAATCCTAATGATTGAACTACCCTTTCCACATTCATAATATTGGGTTAATAATACCTGTCTTATGGTGTTATTATGAGGATTAAATGATATATGGTATGTTTGTATATGTGGCTTTTTAAATCATATGTACAAATGCGTGCACACACATTTATTCATTTACCTATCTGTCAATATATTGTGTCTGATAGGTACTCAGATTTTCTTTATTTCATTTAAACCGTTGATCACCTCTCTTCCTCTCCCCTCCTTGCAACATACAATTTATCATTTCTTACTTTTCATAGAATGATATCATACTTCCAATTTTGCAGAGTAAATAGAAGTCATCAGGCAGAAATGCCCTCACTTTCCCATGTCCAAACCTGTTAAACCAGCTTGTGTCTGTTTACTGTTCTCTCTTCCTTCTTTCCTGTTACCACATTCTTGTTAGACGGGGGATTGTTGTGTGTCCCTCCATCTGGGTTCTCTATCGTTTCTATCTATATCCTCAGAAACCTTAAACTTACCATTACCTGTATCCAGTCTTGTATCCAAAACCCTTGTGTTCCACTGGATTCCTTCTATCATCAGTGAAATATGCTCAGGTCACTGTTGTCTTAAATATGTTCACATATGCATGCACATCTATTATCTTCTGGTGGGGAAGACAAATAAAACGATAAGCCAGTAGAATATGTGGTATGCCAGATGTTGATAAGTGCAATGGAGAAAAAGAAAGAAAGACAATAAGGAGTTTGGAGAGGGGTGTTGCTATTTCAAACAAGATAATCTGAGAAGGAGCTCTTAGCTAAGTCTTACTCCTCTCCTCTCTGCCTGCT